TTCTTCCGGCACCATTAACGAGAAGTTAATGGAGTTGATAGAACCTAGAACTTTGACCTCACTGCACAAGGCAGGTTCTAATGATTGGAGAATCCTGATATGAAGAATACGGAGCACTTCTCCTGCTTTAACAGCAAATGCTAGCAAACACCAGTGTGTTTGCACGATAACTTGATGATTTCTAAACGTTATCTGCAAATACGATAATATTGGGTTAAATATTCATACAGTAAATCTGAGATGGGACTCAAACCCATGACCTTTCACAATCCGGGCGACTGTTCTAACGAGTTCCATCTCAGTGTGCCAGGGAAAAAGGGGTATTTAAGCATTTTTCGTTAAAAATATGTTAAAGTATAGCAAACTGTCGAATCCTTAACACCAGTTGCAGCACTCAGGATATTTATTTGTCACCAGATTAAAGTCGTAAAAGAAGTTATGGTGCAAAAACCTTAGAATTGTTGCAATGTGAAGTATTTGTGGGTTACAAAGTCGTTCAATTTTGTGATATAATGCAGAGCTCCTACTTTTCTCTCACATAACATTTATCATCTTTGTTTTACAGTACTCATTGTTTAATTTCATTTATATTAAAACTAAAAATGTAAAATGAATTGAAGAGGTGCTAAATGGACCCTAGAATCCAAAAAAGCAAAAAAATATAAAAGTCACCACTTCACTTTATCCCCGGAGAGTGCGATATCTAAATAATTACTTGTAAATCAACTATACACAATGAATGTCTCAAACTCTCACTGCTGTCGGGATTTTAAAATATATTTATATTGCTTAATAGCGTCCATTGATTTTTGTTGTAATAAGTAGTTAAACAAATAATAGATACTTAAGTAGTGCTTATTTAAGGGAAAAACTCGTTTCAATGTATCACAGTGAAATGAAATGAAAATGAAAGTTGTCAGTTGTCTTCATCGTCCAGCAGTACAACCTTCACCTTCGGGTCCTATAATAGAAATACTATTAAAAAACAAAACGCGTCGACGATGGTTTTACTATACACGATTCTAGTTGCGCTTATTTACGATGTGGTAGGACATACAACTAAACTCCCACATCCATTATCAGACAAATTCATCAATTTACTTAATTCAAAACATACTACATGGAGCAATTTTCACGTAAATACTCCGATGGAACACATCAAGAGACTAATGGGGACGATAACAGATGATAATTTGAAGAGGTTGCCAGTTGTAACGCATACACAGGAATTGATTGATAGTCTTCCTGATAATTTTGATCCCAGAGATAAGTGGCCTAATTGTCCTACGCTAAATGAAATAAGAGACCAAGGATCCTGTGGAAGCGGTTGGGCGTTCGGTGCCGTCGAAGCGATGACCGATCGTGTCTGCATTTATTCCAACGGAACGAACCATTTTCACTTCTCTGCTGATGATTTAGTAAGTTGTTGTTCCTTATGTGGCTACGGCTGCGACGGTGGCTTCCCGTCATATGCCTGGGCATACTGGAAGGAAGTGGGTATAGTCTCTGATGGTCCTTACAATTCTAATCAAGGGTGCAGATCATATGAAATACCACCGTGTGAAAATAGCGTTCCCGGGAACAGGACGCCATGCAATGGCTATATGGATACTCCTAAATGCAATAGGACGTGCGTAGATAGCTATAAAATCAATTACAAAAACGATACGAGATATGGTAAGCACGTGTACTCTGTGGAATCTGATGAAAACCAGATCAGAGCCGAGCTGTTCAAAAATGGTCCAGTGGAGGCTACGTTCATCGTCTTCTCTGATTTTATAACATACAAAGAAAACATACACAAGGAACCGCTTTAGGTCATCACACTGTGAAAATCATTGGTTGGGGTATCGATAATGGTACTAAATATTGGTTGACAGCAAATTTATGGAATACCGATTGGGGAGACTTAAACGGTTTCTTTAAAATATTTCGCGGTGTAAACCATTGTAATATTGAGAATTTAATTGTTGCTGGTGAACCTTTACTGCTGAATAGTTGATAAAGCTTTAAAGAAACTTATGAATTAAATTATACATTTTAGAATAAATAATGCATTAGTTAAGTATCTTTTTCTTGTACTGTTCCTTAATAAAGGCCAAACTGTATTGGAGACATATATGATCCAGCTTACCTTATGTAGTTTGCAGCAGACCAATTCTGCTAATGTTTACGTTTACGTAATATCCCATCTCAATAAAATGTGCACAACTTGCATTTTGCCATTGCACTATCTACCTGAAGCCTTTTTTTATTTTATACTATGTCACAATAATATTGGACTATAGGTAAATAGTACAAATTTGAAATGCAAGTCATTTTGATTCTATTAGGATGCGACTATTTAAATTTACGTAAACATTAGCAGAATTGTCCTGCAGTACCCTTGAAGTAGCGTCCAGTAAACTTGACGGTGTGTGACTATCAATGTGCATGACAACTCTCCTTGAAAATGAATTGAAGTAAAATCGATTTATAAGATTAGGTTGCAATTCTGCTGACTTGATCAAGTTTATAATGCCATGTAAAACGTATTAACGATCAAGCGTGCATGACGTAATTGTTTTAATAACCAATATCTGCACCACATGGAAAATATCCCCTTTTATATAACGAAATTAAGATGTTTCGAATAGTTCCGGAATTGAGTAGCTCGCAGTAGCAGTAGTTCGCATTTAGACGGACGGATAGCCAGACAGAACGGATCGTCAAAATCTTGTTTTTTTTTCTGATGTAAAGCTCTAGCAATAAGCATCCAATAAAACTGATAACCTTTTTTAAAGTTGGAGAAAAACACTCAACTATTTCATTATATCGTTCTAAAGTAAAAAGTGCTAAGATATACCTATGATTGGAAAAACTGTATATATACTCGTACCAAAAAAATTTTTACCAAACGTTTATTCGTATTCGGATCACACATATAGGTATCCTTAGTTTATGAATTTCTTGATTAATCTTAGCTTCGCTTAGTTTGAACTTGACGACGAGTTTGAGGCATAGAATATAGTTATTCGCTGCAGTAGTACTTCTATTTACATGCTCATTTATCGTTAATTTAACTAAAGGAGTAGATTCCACTGTCTCTAGGATTATAAGCATATGATTAATGTTATGTTCTAAAATGAAAACTATCATAAGATTATTATATTTGATCAATTTAGCATTCACTTATAAATAATAATACTAATAAATATTTTTAATGAAAAATGTTTAAAAAAGCCACCAGCCCCAAGTGCCCTAAGTTAAGACTCGGACCCACGTCATTTCAGGTAGATAAGTAAATTACTATTAAGTTGCTCGGTGGCGTAGCGGATAAGTGCAGCGGCACGCGGTCATTTTTGTAAGGGTTGGTCGCATGATGGGTGACCTAAAATTATTATTATCTCGCGCTACTCCTTCCTTCGGAAAGCACGTTAAGCCGTTGGTCCCGGCTGTATTTGCAGTCGTTAATATCTTCCAATCCGTATTGGGCTAGCGTGAAGGATCGTGACCTATACTAATTAACCGTTCATAAAGAAGCCAAAGCCCCTGCAGTAGGGACGTAAAACGGCTGATGATGAAGTAAATTACTACACTGACTTCCGAATTTAATTTTTTAATTTTTTTTAGGTATACATCTCAGGAGAGAGGGGCAAACAGAACGAAAATTGAAACTTTACCTTTTTACAGAACCTGCAAGGCGATTCTGTAAAAATCCGAAACTGAATTCGAATTCATTAATATGAGCGAATTTACATTATTTAGTGAAGAAATTCTATTGCTTCCATTTTTTTGTGTAAAAATACAAATTAAAATTGATTGAGTGTACGTGTCTCAGATATTATATTTTTGTCATATCGAAACTTACTTCACTAATGCGACAAAACGGTTGGATTTTTACGGAAGTTATTTAAATATCGAGAAAAAAAACTTCGCTCCTGCAGTCTGTAGATGACTTAGTCGCCAAAATAAACGAATCATACACATCATATTTTTATCACCTTGGGCGTCTGCCTGCACAATCGAATAATTAGATAAGTCGATTTGTATTTGAAACATTAAGTTTATCGAATGACGATATCAGTTTACTAGCTGAAATCGCACTGGAGGTTTCACTTTTTTGCTTTAATATGATGGAAAATGTTCAAGTTTCTATGGTGATAGAGCAAGAGCCAAAAATAACGTAGGTCTGGGGTTCACGGACTCTTAGACTATGAGGTTGCTATTAGAAAAAATAGTGAGTGATATTCACATGGAACTGGAACTCAAATAGAAAATATTTTTAAAGATGATGAATTGAATGCGTTACTTGATAAAGACTCTTATCAAACTCAAAAAGAATGAACAAAAATAAAAAGGAGAATAAAAGAAGGAAAAGAAAAAAGAGTTGAAAATCTTTGAGTTATAATATTTCATCAATTTTGCATTCACAATGTTATACTAACCAATATATTTCATGAAAAATAAGATGGGTCCCATCTAAAGACAATTGGGCTAATGGATTTTTTAAGCATTTTTCGTTAAAAATATTTTAAGTCTTTTAAACTCCAGTTACAATAAAACCTCAAAAAATATGAAAACGACGGCGACGAAAAATTGTACATGTGTATATTTGAAAAAAAAAAACCGTATTTTTTATGGAAAAATACTTTTACAATTACTATATGTACATTTTTTTTCGTATAATTTAAACACTTTATAATATTTACTTCGTAAAGTATTTTCATATATTTTTTACAATTTCTTATTTGTAAATAAAAATCTTTGATCAATAAGATTTTTCCTTTGATTTTAAATTTGAATTATATATTGCGTAACTTTGTATTACCTTATCTACTATTTACAAATAGTATAAATTGTGATGTCGTTTAAACTAATTTATCACATGAAATGTTTTTATTTATAGCTTTTTTAATACGAATATTTGTAATAATTCTACTCAAATAACAGACACTTGATACTATAAAAACCGTAAACCATTACAAGTTATTTGTATCTGACAACAATACGCGTCGACTATGGTTTTACTATACATGCTTCTAGTTGCGCTCATTGACGATGTGGTAGGACATACAACTAAACTCCCACATCCATTATCAGACGAATTCATCAATTTAATTAATTCAAAACAAACTACATGGAGAGCCGGCCGTAACTTTCACGTGAATACTCCGATGGAACACATCAAGAGACTAATGGGGACGATAACCGATGACAATTTGAAGAGGTTGCCAGTTGTAATGCATACACAGGAGTTAATTGATAGTCTTCCTGATAATTTTGATCCCAGAGATAAGTGGCCTAATTGTCCTACGCTAAATGAAATAAGAGACCAAGGAGGTTGCGGAAGTTGTTGGGCTTTCGGAGCCGTTGAAGCAATGACTGATCGTGTCTGCACTTATTCTAATGGAACGAAAAATTTTCACTTCTCTGCTGATGATTTAGTAAGTTGTTGTTCTAATTGTGGCGATGGTTGCAACGGCGGCTTCCCGGCAGCTGCCTGGGAATACTGGAAGGAAGTAGGTATAGTCTCTGGTGGTCCTTATAATTCAAATCAAGGGTGCAGACCATATGAAATACCACCATGTGAACATAGCTTGTCCGGGAACAGAAAGTCGTGCAATGACGAAGTACAGACTCCTAAATGCAAGAGGACCTGCGAAGATAGCTACAACATCGATTACAAGAACGACAAGAGGTACGGCAAGCACATTTACTCTGTCGAATCTGATGAAAACCAAATCAGAGCCGAACTGTTCAAAAATGGCCCAGTAGAGGCTGGGTTCACCGTCTACTCTGATTTTATTACATACAAAGATGGCGTTTACACACATACACAAGGAAACATTTTGGGTGGTCACGCTGTTAAAATTATTGGTTGGGGTATTGATAATGGTACCAAATATTGGTTAATAGCAAATTCATGGAATACCGATTGGGGAAACTTAAATGGTTTCTTCAAAATACTTCGCGGAGAAAACCATTGTGATATTGAGAGCTCTGTTGTTGCTGGTGAACCGTTATTACTGAATAATTAATAAAGATTCAAAAACCTATGAATTGGAAGTATTTCAAATATTTTCGAAAATTAATGGCTGTTCGCATTCAGGTGAACGTTAGACAGACGAATCTAACGAAACCCTAACATAAACATCAAGTAAAACTGATATCTCCTTATTTTTAAAGTCGGTTCAAACGCTCAATTATTTCTAAAGTAGGAAGAGTTTTGGAAAACTGTGTCTTTAAGTACCAAATGTAATATTAATTCGTTTCTAAATTAAGTAGGTAAAAGAACATATGCTTAGTTAAAGAATTTCTTGATTAAGGGTTAATTTATCAACCAACTAACTTAATTTAACAATTACAGATATGTAAAAGTACCGTTTAAGCAAAATTATTGTCTATAAATTTATAATTAATTTTAACCCATTAACCCTAAAATGAAACTAATAAAAATATAAGTTTTCAATATTTGGCTACTTTAATGTAGCTGTACTGTAATTTAGGTCGTCCCTTTGGGTACGGAACCCTAAAAATTAAAGATGTTGCCAAAAGTCAGTATTCTACACGGACGAAGTCGCAGGCACAACTAGTCTTCTATAAATTTAAACTTTTTAATGATACCGAAACCTGCCAGATACAAATGGTATAGCCAGAAAGATTTTATTGCAAGTTTATGTCAAGACTTTAAATACCACTTATGATAACCAAAATTTTACTCTGAAAATAACATAAAACCTTATTAAATTTCAGCCGTACTATGGCATATTATTTTTTCCTTTTCCAACCATACTCCGTATGGTTTAATTAGAAATGGTTGGGTTAAAGGTCATGTGAGAATCGCGGACAACGAGCTGGCAGATGTAGCAGCGGGGGAGACCACCGCCAACAAGCACCTGATTACATTGCGTTTCCATTTCAAATGTCAAGATCGAGGCAAAGGCACGACTGTCCCAAGTATGAAAAGCGTAATGAGATCACTCCCCAGGGTTCACATACTAAGGCATTGTTCTCCAGATTAGACGACATCCGATGCCTTGGCAGGTTCGTTCGGACGACTTGCTACCTAACGCAATACCTAACCGGGCATGGATCCAATACGACTATCTACATCGGTTCCACATCATTGCAACCGACACTTGTCGTAGCGACTCGGTCACTTCAGTCACCTCAACATCTCCTAACAGTCTGTCCTAGGTTCGAAAGATCTAGACACAATTTTTTACAGCGATGTCAAATGCGCAGCGCAGTTTATCATAAAGGATCTCCTGCCCCTTCCTGCCTTCATGAGAACCTGATCCACGATTGGGTCTGTCTAATTACCAATATATACTCTAAGCCGAAATCTTTCAATATAGCTTTAGTATGATCACATTTTTTTGAATACGAGGATTGTATGGCTATCTATGCTATGATAAAAATCTATACTATAATAAAAACGTAACCGATCGATGTCTGTACATTGAAGATATATGAAAAAAACTGTTATGAGGGACATTTATAAGAATAATAGAACACAAAACAATGATTTTTTTTTTTGTCTGTTTGTCTGTGCGTTTGTGCACGATAATCTCAGACCCGGCTGAACCGATTTAAATACAGTTTTTAATATAAATAAACTTTTAATAATATTATATTGCGGCATTCTTCCGTTAACATTTAGTGTAAGATTTATTTCAATCGGTTCACAAATAAAAAAGTTATGTCAATTTGAAGTGACGTGGTCGCCAAAATTGCTATGAAATATTTACTGTTTTGAGGCACTCAATTTACCCGAGTCTCTCCAATTTTCCATCTGCAAAGGGACCAATGGTCCAATACTTGACTGTCCTGGTGACTCTGCCATAGCTTGCCGGTTTTCATTTCCCATGAGAGGGTGTAGAGTACGGGCTTTGGTGGGTAGGCCTCTGGGGACCCACCGGGCAGCTCACTGTCGGGTTCACGGAGGAGAATCCTACTCACCCCTGTTGCTTGCCAGGTAACAGAGATAATGTCAGAAGCTTTTCCACGACGTTAAAAAACTTAGATTCACGTCAACTGAAGTTAAGAACGTAAAGACAACTCGAGTTATATATTTTTTTCTCATATTGCTATTTTTTTATGTTAATACTGTTTTTGTTTTTTTTTTAACATACAAATTGCTGTAGATACGTACTTCAAATTTGGTATTTTCAGTCTTCGCTAAAAACAATGCTTTATTCATTGGTCACAACACTCATATAATATTACGGGAGTCTGAGGGTCGGTTCAGAGTAGCTCGGTGGCGTAGTGAATAAGCGCCATAGCCCGCGATTGTTATTGTTAAGCAACTTTCGCAAAGGTCGGGCACAGGATGGATGACCAAAAAATATTATCTCAAGCAACTCCAAGCTTCGGAAAGCACGTAAAGCGATTGGTCCCGGTTGTATTTGCAGTCGTTAATATCCTCCAATCCATAATGTGCCAGCATGGAGAGTCGTGGCCCATTCTCTTTAACCATCCATAAGGAAGGCCTGTGCTCCTGCAGTTGGTGACGTAAAAGGGCTAATGATGATGATGATGATGATGAGTTAAGTTAAGCACCAAGCACCTCACGGAAGTATGTTAGTAGACGATTTCCTTCGAGTGGGGAAAGTCGAAATTAAAATATGTATATATATATTTTTATATCAATAAATAAAACTCCACTTATCTTCCGTCAGACATGTACTGACCGACTTTTATAGACAAAGAAAGAGATCAGACAGAAAGCGCTCGGTCTCGGGAGACACCTCGGGAGACAAAACGCGAAGCGTATTTAACTGCCCATCGCGAGGCTCATGCACTATAAAGTTGAATCTGAAGCATTAACATACATGCAGTATGGTATGAAACTTCTTTTGATAGGGAAATGAGCTTGGTCTCTTAAAGAGCTCGCAGTTTGCACAATAGAGATCGAGAAAGTAGTTTCGATTATCGCCAACCCGTGTTGACTTCATACTCCACAGGCGTACCGCAGATAAGTTTTCACAGGGTATAATGAACTAGCTATTTTCCCACGACTTTGCCGCAAAATTGTAGCCTATGACATGCGCGTCTGATGTAGCTTCCCGTAGATCGGAATCGCTCTGCAACTATCGGTCCAGTAGTATTGGAGCAAATTCGATGCAAACAAACAAACAACCAAATCTTTCCTCTTTATAATATTAGTATAGCTTAGGTATAAGGAGTCCGATGGCGTAGTGTGTTAGCGCATTCGGTTTAAATTGCAGTTAAATAAGTAAGTAAATACTGCACAACAAGGACATACATGAATACTTATTTTACATAAATAAGTACAAACGACAAACTCATCGCTAGCCAGCGATTTCTTCCAAGCAAACTAGCATTACATGAAAAATAGAACAATAAATAGCCGATTGTGCATACAATTAGACATATAATAATAATTTAAAAAGATCAAAAACAAAAAAGAAAAAGAACCGCTTAAAACATTATTATCTTGAGCACTGTGCACAACACTGGCATAATTCACGTTAAGCCGTTAGTCCTGGCTGCATCAGCAACGTTAACACCCACCGATCCGCATTAAGCCCGCGTAGTGGGTTATGGCCCATTGATCTTATTCGATTCGTCTTCATTCATAGGAAAAAAAAGAAATTTTACCAAAAAACTTCCCACGCAGACGAAGTCGCGGGCACAGCTAGTATTCATTTTTAAAATTATGAACAAAATTTAAACCAAACCAAACTTCTATTTACCCGGCTTTGAGATTTACATTTATTAAATTTACCATATGACACTCAGATGCACGTGTGAATAGACGCACACGCTATCGGCGTGCCGCTTGTATCTTATTGAATACTGTCCCCCTTTCTTATTTCCTTTCTTCTACTTACATTTGCATACTTTTTTTATTTACATTCGAATGTCTTCTCTATCTTTACCTTCCAGGAACCACTTCCCTTCCCAAGGTTTCAACACGAGGATTCCATTGAAGGGGGTGTATTCCTATCGCATTGCAGGGCTCTTCCTTCCACCGAAGTACACGCTCTCGTTGTAGAATTTTCGTCTCTTCAATTTATAAAACCTCGTCGTGTACATACGCACATCGAGATTTATTTACACAGCCATGTGCTACCATACAATAAAATACCATACAGTGGGTACTATACATATTTTGATATTTATATTTTTGATACATGGATGATAAATAATTTAATATTTTAACAAATTGCTTATTACAATTACATATGGATGTAATGACTTGGTATATTTACTGTAAATGCTGCTATCTGTGCAAACTTTTGTAATATTCCCTATACCTTAAAGATAGGAAATTGCAATAAATAGGTGTACAACTACTACAATATTTAAAAAAACATGCATAATTGATAATTTAAATAATTGAAAATGCATAACAGCCTTTGTTTCACTGAAATGACAAAATGGATGACGTACAATACAATTATTATTTATTGTAAAAATAAGCATATCATATATATGACTAAACTGTTATGAATTATGAGTCAGTTTGAACAACTGGATTTTTTTTCTTAATTTCCGTGGCCTTTTCAGGTTTTTGACAAACTTATCGAGACCAACAAATCGAGGTCGAAGGCAAAACGTCCTAATTTTTTACACATGTTGTAATAGAAAATTAAGCAGTCATTTTATTTAGATAATTATTTTGCTCACGGAAATTGGCCCACCACAGAAATTGATTTATTGACATTGAAATAGGAATGGCTATTTTTTGCCTGTTGGTCCGTCAGGTAGATTACTGTATAATATTGAATACGTATTTTTTTGTTTTTGCGTAATTAATAAATTAGCATCAATAAATGTAGCATCAAGTCACGCTTTTATACATTCTCTTCAAAAATGTAATAAAGAGAGCCCCACTCCTCATCTTTAATGCCTATTATCTAAGTAATTTCTTGTTTAAATCGAAACAAAAAAAAAACACGTATCTAATATTTTACTACTATTTGACTGACGGACTAAATAGAATTTATCCTTACCAGTATTAATATACTTAAGGTTATAGCACATTTGAACAGAATTGTCTAGAATTTTGATTACCACTAGCTGCCGGCGCAATAAAAACCGCTGCACCGTCCCTCACACATGAATCGCGTTGAACACAAACTCTTGAAATTGACAGTTTGCATTGGGTTTTGATAGTGACAAGATTTTAATCGCTCTATTAGGGAAGTGCCGCGTAACTCTTGTGCTTTTATGCTCATTTTTGTTGGAGATTTTGGTCTCGAAGGCTCAACAAGGAAGTAATTGTGTACAATACACAGAAATTAGAAATTTCTTATTTACATTTTTTCGTAAAAACGAATAGTTTTACATATAATATTTGTGGTTTTTTGTACATTAATACACTTTTCTTTTATTTGAGAAAAAAATGTGGTGTTATCAGTATAGCACAACTTCGTTTTCATCTTTCAATTTACTCATATCAATTAAACGAATCCATTATAATTTCATGTTGTCATACATTATTTAAATATAAAAAACTAAACTACAATTTTGTATCACAAAGAGCAAACTGGAAAAGTATTTGCATTTTGTAATTTCACATCTCTTTGTCTTTATTATTGATATTTGCAATAACTATACAAATAACAAACACTTGGTACCTACTATAAAAGCCGTAAACCGGCATATATACCGTTATTTGTATACAGTCACAAAGCGAGGTAAGGATGGCTTTACTGTACACAATTATCATTTATGAAATGGCAGGACATACACTAAAACTCCCTCATCCATTATCAGACGAATTCATCGACCTAATTAATCTAAAGCAAACCACATGGAGAGCCGGCCGCAACTTTCACGTAAATACATCGATGAAACATATCACGAAACTAATGGGGACGATGATAGATGGAAATTTTAAGAAGTTACCAGTTGTAACGCATACACAGGAGTTCATTAATACTCTTCCTGATAATTTTGATTCAAGAAATAATTGGCCTTACTGTCCTACGTTAAACAAAATCAGTGACCAAGGATCCTGTGGAAGCTGTTGGGCGTTCGGTGCCGTCGAAGCGATGACCGATCGTGTTTGCATTCATTCTAATGGAACGAAAAATTTTCACTTCTCTGCTGACGATTTAGTGAGTTGTTGCTCTTACTGTGGTAACGGTTGCGAAGGCGGCTACCAGTCAGCTGCCTGGGAATACTGGAAAGAAGTAGGTATAGTCTCTGGTGGTCCTTACGATTCTAATCAAGGGTGCAGATCATATGAAATACCACCGTGTGAACATAGCGTGCCCGGGAACAGGATGCCGTGTACTGGAGAAGTGCAGACTCCTAAATGCAAGAGGACCTGCAACTTCGGCTACAACGTCGATTACAAAAACGACAAGATGTACGGCAAGCACGTTTACTCTATTCAATCCGATGAAAATCAGATCAGAGCCGAGCTGTTCAAAAATGGTCCAGTAGAGGCTACGTTCATCGTCTACTCAGATTTTATTGCATTCAAAGATGGCATTTACAAACACACACAAGGATACTCTTTTGGTGGTCACGCTGTTAAAATCATTGGGTGGGGTATTGATCACGGTACAAAGTATTGGTTGATAGCAAATTCGTGGAATACCGATTGGGGAGACTTAAACGGTTTCTTCAAAATAATTCGCGGAGAAAACCATTGTAATATTGAGAATAATATTGTTGCTGGTGAACCTTTACTAGTTAATAATTTATGAAGCCTTATAAAACCTATAAGTTTTAAGATAAATACATAGTTTTGAATAAATAATAACCATGATATGTTTTATTATGTTTTATATGGAAGACATAGATAATTCGGAGGCTGCTTCAAATGCGCTACAAACTTGACACGCTAATATGAATTTATTTAACCGAAGTAAACTGGCCTTTATCGACCTGGATGAGGTTGGCTAGACCGGGGCTCTGCAAGAGACGGCGATCCAGTGCAGTGACCTCCCCAACAAATCCCTTCATTACATCCTCTCGCGTGGTCCGGGCCTTGTATCTGGCAAGCAACGCTCTGATAACTCCAAATAAACCTATGTTTCGATAATTTATGATGTAATGGATGTAAGACCTGAAACTGCCGCTGATGCGCCAATATGATTATAATAAAATTATACATAAGAAAGATTCGAATCATTAAAAATCTTCCATCGTAGACAAATAAGGATAAGACCCTCAGTTTACAGTCACATTTGCAGTACGCAACAGATTCTAGGCAAACATATCTGCTTATACAATCAGTAGAATCTGTTCTACCTTGATAGATGCAATAGGGATGATGAATGGGTGAAAAAAAAAAAACAAAAATTGTATTTAGTCCGTCCATCAGATAATAGAAAAATATTAGATACGCAATTTGTTTGCTTCAACCTAACAAGAAATGACTTACAGTCAGTGCACAAACATCTATTAAGGTTTAATGACTTTAAGCTCTAATGAAGGTCAAATTTGTGTGGGTAATGTCGCTTTAAAGAAATGACAATTTAAAAGGACATTTGTGCAACTGCCGATTAGATAACAGGCATTAAAGTTAAGGAACTGGGGCTTACTGCGTCACGCCTATGTAGAACATGTACGAAGGCATAAGTTAAGGAACGTTAAGGAACTGGGGCTTACTGCGTCACGCCTATGTAGAACATGTACGAAGGCATGACATCAGTGTGACATTTCAACTCAATGTATCGAAATAATGTAGTAATTACGCAAAAATAAATAAAAAAAACGTGTTTAATATTTTTTAATATCCTACCTGACGGACTGGACTAAACTTTTTTGATAAGTCTTAATATACGTACTGCAGTTTGAGATAATTATAGTGTTAACTTGAAGTGTTTCCGTGTATACTTAATTAACAAGAGAAGCTTCCGTCACTAAAATTTTTTAAATAATTCTACAATGACACAAACAATAACATTTACAAACCGCCCACATTAGCTTCAGTTACTGATAGCGAATGGCGATAATGTCATTGTGGATACCATTTGCGACTTAATATTGTTCCATTCCATTAAATACAAATTATGAACATTAATGATAAGATTAATTTAAAAAAACAAACAATGTTTGTGATTCTTTTCACATTAAATTTATCATTCTCGTCCTCCTTTCTATGAAAAATACTGAGTAATTATTGATAAATAAGAATGTAATGAGTAATACTTAGCAAATATTCATTTAATCAACGCTATGTTTTTCTTCTCCTTTTCCTATGAAAGTATCACAGAAATATATTTATATATCTGAAAGATGGAAAGGCGATATAAAATGGATCTCGATGGGGTTGTTAGCGCGCTCCGTCTGCTATATGTTATTAAGCAGCTTCTGCAATGCCCAGTCATAAGATGGGTGACCAAAAATTATTATCTCGAGTTCCTCCGTGCCGTTCGGAAGGCACGTTAAGCAATTGATCTCGGCTGCATTCGCAGTCGTCGATCCTATTGAGCCCGCGTGGTGTGCCAAGGCCGATTCTCTTAATTCGATTACATTCATAGGGAATGCCGTAGTCCCAGTAGTGGGAACATTAACAGGCTTGTGATTATACAATTATTTCAGACTATCAATAGTGCCGTGAAGCAAATTTTAAAACCGCCAAGAATTGCCTAAATAACATCAGCCAATCTTTGGATATGTGTTTTTTTGGAAAAACACCAATTTAAAAACTTGACTTAAAGTACAGCTAACCTACTTACAGGTAAGTACAGATCCGTTTCTACGAGTATCGACAGCTACAGAGCTATAGTTATTTCAAATAAAATAAATAAGAAACACATAAGTTGGTATTAGAAACGCAGAACAACAAAAACTTAAAAAAAAACACTGTCCAACGTGAGTTTGTTTCGCGCACCGATGGTTCCGTACAAATATTAAATTTTATAAATAATAGTCTAATGGATTTTCCTGAACATAATGTATAGGTTAGATATTTAAAAATTTTTAACTTAGTGATTTCAAAAGACAGGCGGAACTTTGAGCTTTTCTTAAATAACTAAATCTATATATCTTGTAATTATAAAAAATATTTTGATTCTTACAATCAGCTCATTCATTTATCACTTAGTAAGCTTAAAAAAATGTTCAGTGTCGGACTAGACTACGGATCATCCGCCGAGTGTGCAAGGTTTAATAACATTCATGTATGTAACATAATTGTAAACATGTAACATATTTGTCAGTTCTGAGGTACAGCTAACGATGAGACTCGACGCATCTTCAATTAAATATAGGTACACTGCCCTTTACCCTTCACAAGATGTTTTAATTTAATTTAAGTATTTACGTTACACTTCCGTTTTTGGGTCAGTGACTCACATGTTTGTACCAAAAAAATTCAATAGGCCCAATAGTTTCCGAATAAATCAGTTGTAACAGCCAGATACATAAGTGTTATGAGTAATCCTATAAGATGTTTTTCCTATATATATTTTTATTTTACTACTGACATATCTTTTGAGATAGATAAATAAGGATTGACTTTCTGACATTTGTTAGTATCAAATAAATAATCTTCATGTTTTACGTTTGTTCGTCGTTAATAAATACCATCTCAAAGTAGTAAAATGAATCGAAATATCGTCATAATATCGTTAAAATATCGTATCCTTTTATGCTGCCCTCCAGAGCCTAAACCGCAGTAACAGCAAAATTTGCTTTTTTTTCCGAATTCTGACCCTAAAAGCCTAACATATTCATTTTTTTTACGACCAGTACTTAATAGTATTATTTATGTTTCTATTAATGTCAATCAAATCAACCACCTAATATGCAGTAAGAATTTTGATCTACTTATTGAATTTTGGTTAATGTAATAAATAACGAAACTGTTGAATATTCAGTTACAGTTCACTGTACCGCATTTTAAATAGGTAGTTTAACAAACGATTTAGAAAAAACTAGAACCAGTAATGGGGGGTTAAAAATTATAACGACTGTCAAGTTTGATATATGTGAATTATTTTAGTATATAACTTATCTAATACTTTGCATTCAAAATAAACAGTGATTTGTTAAAGATACACAAAATTTGTATTTCACGCGCGTTTTTCTCGGTTTCTTGTTTATGCTATTACTGCGGTTAAGGTTGGCTTGTGTTAGGCGCTCACAGTAAATACCAGTCTTAGTCAGCTCCACGATAAAAATTGTTACAAAAAAAATACTAACAAAAAAAATCGTTTAAATAGCCTTACCTAAGCTTCTCAATTTCTTTTCACAATGCCTTTGTGAAAAGAAGTGGCCGCTCGCGTTGCGCCTCAAATGAACCATTGTGTGTTATGAACGGGAACATATCGGGTATGACGGCTTTAGATTAAACGCCATTCACGATATCACATTTTTAATAGAAAATGTATTAAAGTCTTAGATTTCTTATAATATAGCGGGAAAACAAATGAACGTTCGTGAACCACAATAAGTTCTAAGAACGAAGTTACGCTCAGGTGAAATTAATACCGCGACAATTTTACAATACAAACTGTAGGTGAAAATTAAAATTGCAAATAAGTAAGTTATTTTCCGTTAACCTAGTTTAAAATTCAAATTACTCTTTTTAGTTAGAGTCATATATTAATAGGTGGATACATATTCGTAAACACATCCGACAATATATTAAACATAAAAACTGTTTATATGTAAATATATATATAAGATATATATATGTGTTGCTGTAAAAACCCGAAGGAAGGCAAACATAAGATTTCCCAGTAAATCTTCAGATTTACCAATGATGGTTGGTAAATGTTGGTTATGGGAATAAAATAATGACTATTTCTAAATCGTTTATTTTAATTACCAATCAGTCAATGCCTTAAATAGCTTTAATTATAATTTTGATAATACCGTTTAATGTTATTATTTTTTATTACTTTTATTATTATATGAGTATTTTTTAATCATTTATTTATTATTAATAATCAATTTGATAATTATGTAAGCAGTTCAAATTATTATAACAAAGCATATTTGTGTTTATTTATTAGCAGTTAGTAATTCTAATTAGTAAAACATATTCGTAAACCTTCAAAATACTTTTCGAATATCATAAAAAACAAAAAAATATATATTCTCACAAACATACCTAAGCGTTAGCGAAGCTAACTGAATCACTATCTTATTTATTGGTATTTAAGAAACATGTGGGAAATCTTATCATTCAGCGTACTTCGGGCTTTTACAGTAACATATATAAAAGCACCCTATTTTCATTTCTTACGGAATGCAGTCCCGGGATACGGAGCATTCTTTTATAATAACACATCTCAAATTTTTGTCTTCTTACGGCCGGTTTATGAATTGAGAAAAGTACAAAATCTCGACTGATTATAACTTATATTTTCTGATCATTTAAAGAATCAGAAACGAAAACCTATTTAAGTGACGTTTAAGATGATTAAAGTACGGTTTGACACGTGGTTTACTTTTAATTCCAATTACAGAAACCGGGTGTTAGTCTCTTTAAAGCAAGATTAATACCTTACCTTACACCTTTTCCAATGAAGATCTGGCATATGAAGTTCGTTTGAATGTATTAAGTTAGGTCATCCACCATTATTTTAGTTTCGCAATGATTGATTTTGAGACTCAGTTGCATACTGACAAAGATGGCCTATCGGCTTAGCCTCATTAGCTGACAGCTTTGAGACAGTGTTATGTTATGTGCATACCAATAGATTTGTTATGCATTATTCACCTGACATCCTTCAAAAATGACCCAGTTCATCAACAGTACTGTGGATTTTTTTTTATGAAGTTACGATATATTCTTGGTAAACATCTCCCAAACTCAAACGTCCACA